GATATCAATCGATGCAATAATATCTCGGAAAGAGTCCAACAGTTGTTGTCTATCCGTCGTATGCACACAATCAATACCATTGATAGGTATGACTGTCGGCTTAATTGACGGACACTACGGGCGGGCAGTGTTGACAGAGGTAGAGGTGTGACATACCTGGGCTCATTGGGTCCGCCAAAGTGGTCATCTCGGTTGCGTTGGTTCTTCAGGTCGTCGATGTTCTTCTGGTCATTGAACTGACGGGGAGGTCGGTTCTGGCGGTCACTGATGTAATTGGGTTTATCGCCCAATTGGTTGCCATCGCGGGGTGGCCGAGGAGTCCGGTCGGACTTTTGTCGGTTCATTCGGTTGGGATCGCCTTTTGTCGCGGAAAACAATTTGCATTAAAAGCGAAAGCATTTTCAAAAGTGGGTTATCTTTGGCTCCAATGCTTTCAGACAAACACATGCTTTTACATCGCTTTCCATTGCACGAGCAATTCAATTGCATTTAACGCTAACTAAATCTACAACACAATTATTCGCTAATAACCTATCGATTAGTCATTAATGTATTAATTATCTCAACAAAAAGACGTAAAAATGAGAAATATTTGTCTTTCAATAATTGAATCAATCGATCCGTTTATAGGATATATCTATAGAAACACAACAGTTATAGGCATTCAATGGCATTGTCTTTTTTGAGAGACATTTTTCGTATCGAAAATCTAATCACAATATTTAGTCTGTATTTAAAGCTCAAAGTTTTTAAAAAGCCTATCAATTGGTAATAAATTGCTATAATAATCATAATTATGTCAACAAATGATAAAATCAGGACTCAATTCAGACCTTTAGTGATGTCTTTACTTTTGGACAAAGACGGCGGACCTTCCGTTGTCTTCGACTCTGCGTTCATAAGACAAGTGAAGACAATCAGTGAATACAGCATTGAATGGGTGGGAGAGTGAAGACATACTAATGAGTGGATCCTTTGGACTCTTGTTGTCTTTAATGATGTTCTGATGGTTAGCATTGGACAGCCGGGAGTCGTTGAGCGCCTTCACCGCCCGTGCGGTCGACTTGTCGGCCGTGTGGGCCAACGTCTTCACCTTCTCCTCACTCTTGCTGACGATCTCTAAGGGATCCTCTTCTTCGTCGCCTATGAAGACGGCGTATCTGTTCTTCACTCCAATGCCATACGAAGACTCCATTGTCGCTGCTCAGCCAACACTCACCACCTTATGGTCACTGATGTACTGTACTCTCGTGTCGTGGACACTCGGATCAAGTGAGTGATAATGATCACAATGGATGTGCTAATGGATGCTCGTCTGCATTGCTTTCGGACATAAACTGTTGTTTCAGTGGTTAATGGATTCAATGGTTTCCTACGAATGAGTCTATGAGTCGATGCTTTCATGAAACGCTAGTCTATCCGTACATTCAGTGAGACCTTCAGAGATTGCATTCACAGCCAATGCATGCGTTTGCGCCACAACTCTATTAATACACTTTTGCCGTACGATTCATGAACTGTTCACTCAATACACTGAATGGCAAAACAATACAATTAAATGGCGGTCACAGCAAGCATTGGAAACTGCGATCATTTAAATGACACAAATTACGACATCAAACACACCAACACATTCACGTATTCATTAGCTTTTCATTCATATTATTTGTATTCAATAGATAATGCTATTAAATAGTCTGACAGCGAAAGCATCTACAAATTATTTCTATTTAATTAAAGGTATAATAAAATTACAAAAACATGTTTGAATTAAAACACTTGAAATACACACGCAATGCATGCTTACAGTTATGGTCTCAAAGTTTACGTCTAAAGTTTAGACATGAAATATATAGCGGAATATTAGAGAAAAGTTTTGAATTACAAAATTGAGACAAATGTGTAAT